ATAGTTTGTGTAAGCAAGCCAGTAATTAGAACTGTTTCTTTCAACTATAATATGGTTTTCAAGAAGTTTGCTTCTGAAAGAATAGCTACATACTTTAAGAGAAGTATCCATCCAAGGGCTAAGCATCTCTATGCCAATCATCCAAACCATATGAGTTTTCAAGAATAATATTCTTTCTTCGACTATATGTACACTGTAGTCTTTGAAAATAGGAAGGTAATCTGTGCCACTATCCAATCTGCCACTATCCAATCTCTAAGACAGAGCTATACAGTGGATGTGAATTAAAACACCTGTCTTCATGGCTGGTTTTTGTTCTTCTGTTTCAGAGATTAAGCAAGTATAAGCCTCAGAAAGATTCCTACATCAAAACTAGTGGTTAACAGGCCAAAGCATCACCCAGTGTTCTTGCAAATATATCCATTTTAACTTTATTTTCTCTTAGATGTATTAAGAATACACTGATATACCTACACTAACTTTCATGCTATCAAATTCCTAAAGTCCTGTGACAGGGCTCTGGTTAAAAAAAAATGTATCGTTCTAAAGTGAAAGATAACAATTATCAGTTATCTAATATGTTGAGCTTTAAAAAAAAATCATTAGAGATTGGAGCCAGGCGTGGTGGTGCACGCCTTTAATCCCAGCACTTGGGAGGCAGAGGCAGGTGGATCTCTGTGAGTTCCAGGCCAGCCTGGTCTAATAGTGAGTTCCAGGCCTGCTGGGGCTACAGGGAGACCCTGTCTATAAATTTTTTTTAAAAAAAGCTTCATTGAAAGGTAACAAAATCAAAGATGATGTACAGAAAATAATCATAAAGATCTTCTCTCTTTTTCAGAAAGATATGAAACTAAGCTGTCTGACTTCAAATAAGAAATTTAACTTCTCTGAACTTGTATCTTCACCTCCACAATTAGACAGTGTTTCTGTATAGTACTGTATTTGATACCTTTATACATATATATGTAAACATGTATATATACACATATATATACACATATATATGAGACTAATAGTGTTTTTAAAAAGAATGCCTCATTCTGGCAGAAACAAACAAATATATAATTAATAAAAAATTATCAAAATACACATGCTTTTAGGAAGAGACACTATAGTAGGCTTTGCATCATAAATCTTAATCATTTGTCATTTAATGAGATTGAGAAACACATTTATCCCTATACTGTTTATTTTTCAATAAATTTCTAAAGAAAACATTGGCCCAAGTATTGAAACCCTGGAATCAAAAACAAACACTGTGAAAATCCAAAAATTATAACCTGTCAGAACTGATGATTTTGACAGCTAATTCCTATTTTACAAGTATAAATATAGTAGGTTATAGAATAAAACATACAGGAGAGATGACTCGGCAGTTAAGAGTACCTTCTGCTCTTCCAGAGGACCCAAATTCAGTTTCCAGTATCCATACTGGGTGGCTCACAGTCACCTGTAGCTCCAGCTGCAGATCTAACACCTCCTGCCTCCACAGGCACACACACACACACACACACACACACACACACACACAAAGTTAAAATAAATCTTTGCCAGGCATGGTTACACACACCTTTAATCCTAGCACTAAGGTGGCAGGGGCCAGCCTGGTCTACATAGGGAGTGCCATGCCAGTCAAGGGCTTGTTAGTGAAACCTTGTCTCAAAAAATTAAAATAAAATAAACAAATGAAGAATCTAGATAACAAACATTCCAAGAAGAATTACCAAAAAAGGTTTATACAAATTTTTTTTCCTGAAAAAACTGAAATAAAATACCTAGTAAATAGTCCTTAAAAATTCTTTTAAATACCCAACACCACATGCTAGCTAACAACCATCTGTAACTCCAGTTCCAGGGGATTTGATGCCCTCTTCTGACTTCCTTGGACATTGCACATACAGATGCACTCATGCAAGCACAGGCAATACACTCATACACATAAAATAAAATAAATAAAATATTTTTTTAAATTCTTTTATGTATAATAAAAGCAGTAACTCTAGGAAATGGGCATAATAGGCAAGGTGAAGGAGGAAATAACGGTTTTCATTAACATGTTAAAAGCTACTTTAGCTGTCTAAGAAGTTTCTTTTTAGAATCTGGAACGTTCTAATAAAGAAAACTAAACTTAACAGCTTTGAACACATAAATGAATGCCCAGCATTGCAATGTAATAAGGCAAGTTTTAAAATATGGACACTTTGAAAGGAAGGCACACATTAAAATTGGTTTGGGCATCTTCAAAAGTACTGAAACTTTACTCACATGGCTATAGCCTCATCTCATCAAGTTTGCGTTCAACTCTCCAGTACTATTCCAGAAGCTTGTCCTAAGTAAGCACAGGCATGAAAATAAAAAAATACTTTCTCATTATGTTTTCTATTTCCTGTTTTCTCTATTTAGTCTTAACTCCATACCACATTTATCTGATAACTTCTTGGTGTTAATTCTCAAAATCAAATTTTTCCATCATGAAAACCATATGTGTGGCATCTCTGAATTTTTCATCTTTTTATAAGAGAGTAGTTCTTTGTGGTGGCATAAGACTCATGGCTATATGTGTAAAAGCCTACTGCTGGCCTGGTCAGGCACTGAACAGAATAGTCCACATCTGTGTTCTACAGGTATTAATAATGATCAGAGGATTTGGTCAAACTGAAGGCAAGAAAGGAAAAAAGCATCAAAGCTCGGTGTGGTGGTGCACAACTTTAATCCCAGCACTTGGGAGGCAGAGGCAAGGAGATCTACAATTGGCTAGTTCTAGGCCACCGTGGCTACAGGAAGACCCTGTTTCAAAGACCAAAAAAAAAAAAAAAATCATCAGTATCAAATGAAAATAAAGTCTCATATACAAGCTCTATGCTAACCATAGGCTCTATGCTAACCATTAGGCAAATAAACAAACATCCTTGTCTTCCAGAAGTCCCCACACTAGAGCAGATGATGTTGACACAGACATATAAACAAACATTTACCATGTAGAATAGAGACTTAATGGCTGCCACGAGGGCAGAATAGATCAACAACAGTTAAATGTTTATAAAATGTGAGAGACTTATTGTGGGTCATGCATTTTCTATAATGCATATAATAGTCTCTAGAATTGGTGATGGATAAGTGAAGATATGGTGACTTTTCTCTTGTAAAAGTGCTTGTTTTTTTTAATAAGAAATCATATTTTACCATGTTGCCACCTGACCCAGAATGCTAAGACTCAAGTGATCCTCCTGCTACAGTCCCCCAAGTAGCTGAGAATATAAGTGATTACCACTGTGCTCAGCCTTCTCTTCAGTTTTGAGTCTGTTTTTAAAAATACACCATAATAAAGACTTTACAGTACAGACATTAGAGATTCCCTGGACTCCAGGCACAGTGAACATCTTTCAGGCCCTCAAATGTGCCGTGCTCTTTCACATCCAGGTATTTTGCATTGCTTTAATCATGACTCCTCCTATTCCCTCTTACCTTGACCTAGTCAAATGTAACCAGGCTACACTCTCTCAGCTTTCCCCAGGAGCAAGACTTTTGAGTTTTGTTTTTCTACTCCAAACCTTTCTGGGTTTGTTTTTCTCCTTTTTATACTGATTCTTGCCATATCCTAGTTTATCATCTGTTCCTGGTCTTTCACAGGACTAAAAGAAATCCCCCACCTGACTAGCAAAACACAAGAACATGGTGTCTTAGTTTCTTTTCCTCTTCCTCTGATGAAATACCTGTCAAAAGTCACTTGAGGAAGAGTTTATTTTAGTCCACAACTCAACGTGCAGTCCATCATGACAGGCAGGTCAATGCAGCGCAAACCTGAAGCAGCTGGCCACACTGTCTGCAGTTAGAAGAGATCAAGGAACAGATGCATGCTGCTTGGTTGTTTTTCTCAGGTTATACTGTCCAGGATGCCAGTCAGGAAATGGTGCCATTTCCTTCCCAACTCAATTAACATAATGCAGACAATCCCCCACAGGCATGCACAGGGCCCATCTCCCAAGTAATCTTAGTTCTGTCAAAGGTGACAACACCAACCATCACAGAAGGCATTTAATAAAGTTTGGTTGAATAGATGAATGACAGACCACTCTATGACTGAAACAATTAAAGTATGTTCTACACCTTGAGAACACTATTTTCCAACAGAGATTTCTGCATTACTAGTAACGTTCAATATTTATTTATGCTGGTCAATGCTCTAGCCACTAGCTACATATGGCTACTGAACATCTGAAATATAACTAGTGCAACTGAGTCTTTCTGTATGTGTAATTTCCATTCACTAGCTACGAATGGTTAGTGATTAACATATTGAACAGTGTAATTGTAGAGTCTCAATGGGAACATGAAACATTATGTACAATCTGGCTTGCTTGCATTGTATACATACTGAAATTTAAATCACAGTTTATTGATATAATTCAAATTTCCTAAATGAAATTTCTCTTAATTGGTTATGTGCATTTTGAGGGCAGGCATTAGATTTTGCTCATCATCATCTTATATATTGCAAATACTTAACATTTTAAAGGCATTTAACATTCCATTAAACAATAGAGATTTAGGCACGCATCTTCCTCTGGGACAAGAGCACCATCACAGGTGGAAATGGACCCTGGACTGATACCGATTTATTACATTCTAGAAATCAGTAAAATAAAAAAAAAAAAATAACATAAATGAGACATTTCCACGTTCTGATGTTACACAGCAGATAAAAAGAATCCCAGATTTCAGGGAAACTAGTCCGACCAGGCCCACAGGAAACGGAAATGGCTTCTCTAGCCAGCGCAGTTGTTGCTTTAATTTCCGTCCCTTCAAGGGTCCTTATGTGGGGCTGCCCTGGGCATTGCCTGAACAAATATCTAACAGGTCTGCAATAGACACATTCCGGAACTTTGTAGCGCGTTTTCGAATTAGCCTGCCGCCGGGGCCCTAGTTGGCCTTCCTTCCTCTGCTCTTTCGCTCCGCCCAAGGGACCCACGTGACGTCAGGAGACCTTCGAGCAACGTCCTGCCTCTCGGAGCAACATGGCTGGTGGTGAGGCCGGAGTGACTCTTGGGCAGCCGCACCAGTCCCGACAGGATCTCGCTACTTTGGATGTTACCAAACTGACACCACTTTCCCATGAAGTTATCAACAGACAAGCCACAATTAACATAGGTACAATTGGCCATGTAGCTCACGGGAAGTCCACTGTGGTAAAAGCCATTTCTGGTGTTCACACTGTCAGATTCAAAAATGAGCTAGAAAGAAACATCACCATCAAGCTTGGATATGCTAATGCTAAGATTTATAAACTTGATGACCCGAGTTGTCCTCAACCAGAATGTTACAGGTCATGTGGAAGTGGTACACCCGATGAATTTCCTACTGACATTCCAGGAACCAAAGGGAACTTCAAATTAGTCAGGCATGTGTCCTTTGTTGACTGTCCTGGCCATGATATTTTGATGGCTACAATGCTGAATGGTGCAGCAGTGATGGATGCAGCTCTGCTACTGATAGCCGGTAATGAATCATGCCCTCAGCCTCAGACTTCGGAACACCTGGCTGCAATAGAAATAATGAAACTCAAGCATATTTTGATCCTACAGAATAAAATTGATCTGGTAAAAGAAAGTCAGGCTAAGGAGCAATACGAACAGATTCTTGCATTTGTACATGGAACAGTAGCAGAAGGGGCTCCGATTATTCCAATTTCTGCTCAGCTGAAGTACAATATTGAAGTCATCTGTGAGTACATAGTGAAAAAAATACCAGTGCCCCCAAGAGACTTTACTTCGGAACCTCGACTAATTGTTATTAGGTCATTTGATGTCAATAAACCTGGCTGTGAAGTTGATGACCTTAAGGGAGGTGTGGCTGGGGGAAGTATTCTAAAAGGAGTATTAAAGGTCGGCCAGGAGATAGAAGTGAGACCTGGTATTGTTTCCAAGGATAGTGAAGGAAAACTCATGTGTAAACCAATCTTTTCCAAAATTGTGTCACTTTTTGCAGAACATAATGATCTTCAGTATGCTGCCCCAGGTGGTCTAATTGGAGTTGGAACAAAAATCGACCCCACTTTGTGCCGAGCTGACAGAATGGTGGGTCAAGTACTTGGTGCAGTTGGAGCTTTGCCTGAGATATTCACAGAATTGGAAATTTCCTATTTCCTACTTAGACGGCTTCTAGGGGTACGCACTGAAGGAGACAAGAAAGCAGCAAAGGTCCAAAAGCTGTCTAAGAATGAAGTGCTCATGGTCAATATAGGATCCCTGTCAACAGGAGGAAGAGTTAGTGCTGTCAAGGCTGATCTGGGCAAGATCGTTTTGACTAATCCTGTGTGCACAGAAGTAGGAGAAAAAATCGCCCTTAGCCGAAGAGTTGAAAAACACTGGCGTTTAATTGGTTGGGGTCAGATAAGAAGAGGAGTGACCATCAAGCCAACTGTAGATGATGACTGAAGAATCCAAGTTCTTTAGTGGTGCATTTGCATGGAGTTAGAATTTCTTTAACAACCTAGGGGTATATTTTCAAAACAGTACTATGGAATTAAGTTCACAGCCCATGACTCTAGGTAGCTATAAGGTTATTCACATATTTTTATGATGAAAATTTAACCTCTGCTTCTAATATAGGGACTACAAATAAATGTAAAACATGGTGTATATACTATTGGATTAAATACATTTTAGCAGAAGTTAAACATTCTAAAATAAAGTCTAATTTATCCATCAGTGAAGATTTGAAGTGAAAATTTTCTATAACCAGTCTTTGCTATAGCACATATCATGAACCTGTCTAAAATAAAATTTGTCTTTTTCATAATTGTTCCGTGAGTAGCTCCATGCTGAAGGACAGTTGTACCAGTAAAAACTGGAAGACACAACTGTGCTTGAAGACCAAGTCCTCTTTATTTGACCTCCATATTGTGTGTTATGTTATGTTTGAAATTTTAAGGGAAAACTAATGGGTTCAGGTGATCGTGGCTCTTAGACTACGAGTGCTCAGACTCATAGATGAAACTTTCTTCTTATTCTTTTGTTGTTGTTGTTTTGTTCTTTGGCAAGGTCTCCCTAGTCCCTGCGTGCATGGAAGTCACTATGTGGACCAGGCTGGGCTCCATCTCACAGAGATGTGCCTGCCTCTGCCTCCCAAGGGCTGGAATTAAAGGCAGGCACCACCATGCCTTATTCTTTTCTTTTCCTGGACAGGAACATAGGAAGTCAGCCAGAAGTTCTCACCTTCTTCTGGTGCCTGAGACTATTTCTTCATTACTTTATGCCTACAATTTCAGTTTTCCCCTTCTGGCAAATAATATTATAATAGTTGATTAAAGATCATTTTAAAAGTTCTCTCCAGGTTTTATCTTCTGGAGTTTTTGTTTCAGTGAAACTAGGGATGGAACCCAGATCTTCTTGCATGCTAGGCAAGCAGTCTACCACTGACTGTACACCTAGCCCTGGTTTTTCTTAATAGAATTATGGTGTAGATTGTAGAATTAATGCTCTTTGGTCCTTGCCAGAGGCAAAAGATGCTCAGAAGCAAAGAGTGAGTCCTTTTGGTTTCTAAATCTAATTTTCCTCTCCCTGCACTTTTTCTGTGCTGTGTTTTAAATTTCTATTTGATTATGTTTCTGTTTTGCTAGATACTCTGTAAAAGCAATGATTTACAACTCTGGCTGATATGAGAATTGCTGAGGAAGCTTTTAAAAATAAATCTTTTTTTTTAAATAATATGTCCTATGGTAGAGTTCAGGCATTGATACTTTTTTGTAAAACTCCCCAGTGTTGAGAAACAAGTTTGTTTAGAGACTTGAGAAATAGACGTATTAAATAATGCTACATACTGAACTTAGGTAGTCTGATGTTTGCTTTTCATTTGTATATAAATGGGATTTTTTACCACAGTTATTACTATATTGTGCTCTTTGGGGTGTTGAAGCTGCCTTACAGGAATTTAGCAGCTGTGGCCCTGGGTCTTTAGGTTTAAAAGTTTTGAGGAATCATATTGACATGTAGTTACTGACTCTGGCATTTAGAACACATTTAAATAAAACAAGCTTCTAAATCAAGCATTAATTGTAAACAAAAAATGGAGATTTAAATTCAAATTTAAATAATACACCATCTATTTATTGTCTTCTCAGTTTAAGAGTGTGGGTGGGAAAAAAAAAAACAATCCTGGAACCAATAATAAAGTAAAAGAAGACAAAGAGGATGTTATGTTATCTACACTGAGCATTCTCCACTGTGCCAAGGTCCCACATTTCCACCTTTGCTCCATCTCAGTGTGTGCTGTTCTTTGCCAAAAGCTATTCTTGCTCTTCCCCATCTCTGTATTCTTCACACATCCATGCTCCATAGAGCATTCATGGTAACAACAACAACAAAAATTGAATCTGTCTTGTCCTCTGTGGTTGACTCATCTTTGTTCAATAGATGTTTGAATACTTATATCTTTCCCTTGTTTGATAATAAATTCTCCAAGGATGGATAATTTATTCATGTTGCTCTTAAAGTTTAGCGTGATATTCTCTACTGGACAAGATTAGAAAATGTGCAGAATTAATGAAGTCATAAAACAGCTAAAACAATAATAGGTATGAGTTTAAAATGCCAAAGAACATCTAATTCAGAAGTAGGTGAAAAAAAAATCTTTCTTTTGCTTCTAGAATACTCAGAGAGTGGCAATCTACCAACAATCTCTTACATGCAGTGCTCCTGGCAATAGTAGATCGCCTACTGCTGTCAACTGCTGCCATCCATAAGAAGTTCCTTTCTCTCTTCCTCTGCTACTCTTTCTTGCCAATTTTTCAGAGGAGCTCTGTACTCCACCTTCTTCAGTTTAATATAAGGTTGTGATGTCACTTTTTTTCCACCCTTATTCACAGCAACTATGCCATCTGTCCTTCCTCAAAAGATATTTTTGGATAGGGCCAAATGTCAAGATGTCATTTAAGAGCAAGTTTAGACCACAGGATACACATCTAATTTCAATGAAATGTTACAATCTTTGTAAGTGCTCTGGTTTTGTTCACATACATTATCAGAATTTATAACAAAATTTAATCTTACTTCTCCCCATTTTATGTCCCTCCATTATTTTTTCAGACACGCTTCATTTCTAGGCACAGATTTTATTACTACTTGAAATCTTATACTGCTGTGTACTTAATATTAACGATGATACTTTAAAGTGTATAATTACATATCAAAAGTTTGGAAGTTTTTTCCAGCTATCATTTTCTCAATAAATGAAGTCAGAAATTTTTGTACATACAGTTTGCATAACATCTGGTTATCTAAAATGACTCTTAAATCATTTGCGAAAAAACTGATATAGCATAAACATAATAAATTTTTTTAAATTCTGGAATTAAAGTAGAAAGAATGACTGGACTTTATGCTGGTCTTAATTTATCCCTCTGAAAAACCTTTCCCAGTACTAAAGGATATATCATTTTAATCATTCTAATAGCATTTGGAAATATCTATTGCTTTTCCAACATTTTTAAGTTATATGGGGTTATTAGCTTAAAAGAACACGAGGTATAAAAATGTTTCCATATGCTAGAAATGGTTCCAAAAGTTTAAGACAAGAGAAAAAAGCGGTTATTTTGCAAATGAACAGTAAGCTATAAAAGATGCCCTTCTAAGAAAGGGTTACCTTCAGGGTTAACTATAAACAACTTTGAAACCACATGAGATCACCCTACAAAATAACAGAATAACATAATGTTAACTGTTACTTATATAAATTACCAAAACATGTTAGTGTTACTAAAATATATTCTAAATTCAGATAAACCTGAAATTTCACCATTGATGTAGTAATAATCTTTCTGCCACATGCTAGTGTTTCCAAAATATATTCTAAATTCAGATAAACCTGAAATTTCACCATTGATATAGTAATAATCTTTCTGCCACATGCTAGTGTTTCCAAAATATATTCTAAATTCAGATAAACCTGAAATTTCACCATTGATGTAGTAATAATCTTTCCACCTTACTCTTTTATGATTCTTGGGATTGCAAGATCAAGAGTAGACAGATTCCAAATATCCATTTCAAAATTTTTATTTATGATGTTACACCTCTCTATCCAAACCTTTAAGTCAGAGAGCATAAGCCTTGGGGAAAAAATGGATGCTATATTAAAAGCTAAAGGTAATTACCTTACATTAATAAACCGCTTAACATTTTATTTTTATTTTAAAAAGTTTGTAAAAATTTCACTTGACAGTACCAAACTACCATAATAAAAATAGAAGCTCAAAATCTCTTTGCTAAGCAGATGACACTGTCACTTCCACCCTTACCTAACACCAGACCAAGTGGGTGGTAGTACATTTCAATAGAATAAATCACAGGCTACCAGCTACATATACAGTAAGGAAACTTAAAACAAAAATACTAACAAATTGCTGTGTAATGTGTGTCTCCAGACCCTGATTCCATTTTCTAAAGATAGGTACTATTTCCCTCTGTCCAGAAGACACCCAGAGTTCATTATATACATGTAAGAAATGTGGAAAGAGCAATTCTATGACCAGAGAAGTCCAAAATGCCTCTGAGTCTCAATTCAATCTTGGGCAATCCCAGAACCAAATGGCATATAAGAGTCCATTTCATTTCTTTTAAGATTAATTTTATAATTGTTAATTATATGTGTGTGGATATATGTATGTGTGTTCTGTTGCTCAGAGAGGTCAGAGGCATTGAATCATCCTAGAGCTGGAATTATAGGCAGTTGTGAGCTGCCCAACATGGGTGCTGGAAATTGAACTTGTGCTCTCTGCAAGAACAACACATACTCTTAACCACTGAGTCATCTCTCCAGTCCCAGAGAGTCCATTTTAAAACAGGAACACCTCTAAACTTCAAAATGCTCTTTTCCTTATTTATGTTGTTACTCCTCTCTACCCAAGTCTATTCACCTAATTCTGCCACAGTAGTCTGTTTTCTGTAGTTGTATATGTTTTGCTGGGCCAAGATCTAGAGGCAAGTGTACCATACAGAATTTTCCTCTAAGATGGGACAGTGAAGAGTATCCTTTAATTGTTTGTTTGTTTGTTTGTTTATTTATTTTCAGGAAGAGTTTACTAGGTTGCCCAGACTGGCCATGAGACCCAAGCTCACACAATCTTGCCTTAGCCTCCCAAGTAGATGGGACTATACGCCCATCCTGTTGTAACAGAATTAATTTAAAAAAATGTGTGTGTGTGTGTGTGTGTGTGTGTGTGTGTGTGTGTGTGTGTTTGAGAAAGAGTCTCCCTCTAATCACAGCTGGCCTGGAACTCACTATGTAGACCATGCACAGAGATCTGCCTGCCTCTGCCTCCCAAGTGCTGGGATTAAAGGTGTGCACCACCATGCCTGGCTTCAGACAATAAAATATTTGAAAAATATTCTTAGCCAGGTACATGCCAATAGTTTCAGCTACTTGGGAAACTGAGACAGAAAGATCACTTAAGCCTATGGGTTC